TTCATTCCTGGCGCGCCCATTCCAAACCGACCAGCTTATAGGACTAATCATTGAACATAAGATTGACTTCATTCCTGGCGCGCCCATTCCAAACCGACCAGCTTATAGGACTAATCCAAAGGAGGCTGAAGAGATACAAAGGCAAGTAAGTGAACTCCTTGCTAAAGGGTATGTACATGAAAGTTTGAGTCCTTGTTCTGTTCCAGTTATTCTTGTACCTAAGAAAGATGGTTTTTGGCGTATGTGTGTTGATTGTAGGGCTATAAACAAGATAACTATAGAGTATAGGCATCCAATTCCCAGATTAGATGATATGCTTGATGAATTGCATGGATGTAGTCTTTTTACTAAGATTGATTTAAAATCGGGTTATCATCAAATTCGCATGCATATTGGGGATGAGTGGAAAACAGCTTTTAAAACCAAGTATGGTCTTTATGAATGGTTGGTTATGCCTTTTGGATTAACTAATGCACCTAGTACATTCATGAGACTAATGAACCATGTCTTACGAGAATACTTAGGTAAGTTTGTGGTTGTTTATTTTGATGACATTCTTGTTTACTCTAAATCTTTAGATGATCATATTACCCATGTACGCAATGTTTTGACTAGTTTAAGAAACGAATGTTTGTACGTAAATTTAAAGAAATGTAGCTTTTGCATGGAAAAAGTTAACTTTCTTGGGTTTGTAGTTTCATCTAATGGTGTTGAGGTTGACGAGGAGAAAGTGAAGGCTATAAAAGATTGGCCTACACCTAAAAATGTAAGTGAGGTAAGAAGTTTTCATAGTCTTGCAAGTTTCTACCGTAGGTTTATTCAGAATTTTAGTACATTTGCTTCACCCTTCAATGAACTTGTTAAGAAAAATGTATCCTTTATATGGGAAAAAGATCAAGAACTTGCTTTTAATACTTTGAAAGAAAAATTGAGTTCTGCTCCCTTACTTGCATTACCTAATTTTGAGTCTACTTTTGAAATTGTATGTGATGCTAGTGGAGTGGGGATAGGTGCTGTATTAATGCAAAATCAAAGACCTTTAATGTTCTTTAGTGAGAAGTTGACGGGTGCATATTTGAGGTATCCAACTTATGACAAAGAGCTTTATGCTTTGGTTCGTGCATTGCAAACCTGACAACATTAGCTTTGGCCTAAGGAGTTCATTATTCATACGGATCATGAAAGTTTAAAGCATTTGAGAGTACAAAATAAACTCAACAGACGACATGCTAAGTGGTTAGAATTTATTGAAACATTCCCTTATGTCATAAAATATAAACAAGGTAAGGAGAACATTGTTGCAGATGCATTATCACGAAGGTATGTCCTCCTCAATACTTTGAATGCTAGGTTGTTAGGTTTTGAACACATAAAGAATTTGTATCAACATGACATGTTCTTTGCTCCTTTTGTTGAATCTTGTGAAAAAGGACTCATTGTGGATAATTACTTGTTGTTAGACGGATTTTTGTTTCGAAAAGGCAAACTTTGCATACCATCTAGTTTCATCCGTGAGTTACTTGTGAGGGAAGCTCATGGAGGTGGTTTAATGGCACACCATGGAGTTTCTAAAACTTATGATATGCTCTCTGAACATTTTTTTTGGCCTAAAATGAGACATGATGTTCATAAAGTTTGAGCTCGTTGCATAGCATGTAAACAAGCTAAGTCTAGGCTTCAACCACATGGTTTATACTCCCCATTACCAGTTCCTAATGGTCCTTGGATTGATATATCAATGGATTTTATTTTAGGTTTACCTAGGACTAGGAAAGGTTATGATAGCATCTTTGTTGTGGTTGATTGATTTAGTAAAATGGCTCATTTTATTCCTTGTCACAAAACTAATGATGCAAAACATATTGCAGACCTGTTCTTTAGGGAATTTGTACGATTGCATGGCATTCCTAAAAGCATCGTTAGTAATCGTGATGTAAAATTTTTAAGCCACTTTTGGCGTGTTTTATGGGGTAAGTTAGGAACTAAGCTAATATATTCAACTACTAGTCATCCTCAAATGGATGGACAAACTGAAGTTGTTAACAGAACCATGACTGCTATGCTAAGAACTATTATTGATAACAATCTTAAGACTTGGGAGGATTGTTTCCCTTTATAGAATTTGCATATAATAGGGTTGTTCATTGCGCTACTAAATGCACACCTTTTGAAATTGTTTATGGCTTTAATCCTTTAACCCCCCTTGACTTGTTACCCATACCGTCAAAGGAGTTTGTGAATTTTGATGCAAATGCCAAGGTTGAGTTTGTTCATAAACTGCACAAGCAAGTGAAAGAACAAATTGAGAAACAAAATTCCAAGGTTGCCACCCGAATTAATAAAGGATGTAAGTTTGTCATCCTCAAGCCAGGAGATTGGGTTTGGGTGCATTTCCGAAAAGAAAGATTTCCTACTTAAAGAAAATCTAAGCTTTTACCACGAGGAGATGGACCTTTTCAAGTTCTTGAGCGTATCAACGACAATGCTTATAAAATTGATTTACCAGGTAAGTACGGTGTTAGTACAATTTTTAATGTTGTTGATTTGAGTCCTTTTGATGTAGGTGATGGCTTTGATTCGAGGACGAATCTTTTTCAAGAGGGGGAGAATGATATGAACCACGACCAAGGAATTTCCATACTTGAAGGTCCAATTACAAGGACGAGAGCTAAGAAGCTACAACAAACCTTATACAATTATATTCAAGCTATGGTGAGCTCATCAAAGGAAATTCTAGAAGACGCTGGAGACCTCCCAATGTTGTGCAAAGTTGAGATTCAAGAAAGAGATGAATTAAATGCACTTTAAGTTGCATTTAATGAACTCCGCTGAATTTATGAAACTAGTCCAAGGATGAGTCAATAAGCACATTTTATTAATTGCATTATTTAATTATATTTAAATATTTGTTTGGCATATTTAAGCTAGTTTTAAATATTGGAGTTAAGGTTATATTGTAACCCACATAGGTTACTATATTCCACCATTAACTAGCCATTTTAATATGGAGGTTATGGGTATTTTTCATTTACTAGCCCATTTAATTTGGGAGTTAAATATCACATAGGTTAAGGTTATAAGGGCTATATAAAGCCTTCTTTTCTTCGATTAGATATTAGATTTTGGAATTTAGAATAGAATTTCTATTTTAGATTTGTTGAGAGCTAAAATTTCTTTGCAAATTCTTGTGTTTAGAACTTGCATGTAGAGTCATTCAAGTGGTATTGATCAAACCTCTTGTGGAGTGATTCGAATCAGAGTTTAGAAACGAGTTTTCTTTACTCTTGATCTTGATCATCAAGGTAATCCGTTCCATACTTTCCCTTGGGTTGATTTTCCATATCAAATCTTGAATGAGAAACTCCATTATGTTTTTCTTCCTTGTTCTTTTGCGTACCGAAAGAATCAGAATATAGGAGATTTTGACGCTAAAGTCGTTGGTTGGATGGGGTCAGGTGAGCAGCCTTTGCCTTTTTTCTTTTTCTCCTACGTCTATGATTAGGATTTCTCAATCTCGTCTATTATCAAAACAAAGTGAAATGAACGATTACAAGATTGTGCGACTTCTTCCTTTCTTCAGGTATCTACCACGAAGGCACAAATTTAACAGGAATACCTGCACTTGTAGCTCCCATCATCACACCCATCTTATAGAATTTCTTTCTAATCGAGCATTTCGGGTGAGTTTTCCCCATTTCTTCGACCCTGATTTCTTCACATTATGTTCTCGTACCCAAGCCCTGAAATAAGAGAAAGAGTCTTGGAGAATTGAACACTGATCTTACTAAAGAAGTGAGAAAGTGCTGATGGGTCGCGGTCTCAAAATGGAAGTTTTTCGCCTTAAGATAGCGCGGAAGGTCTTTTAGGGCCGGTTCGCATCCCCCGACTCAACAAGTGGTCTCGTGCGCGGCCATCATCTTGTCGGGTCTGAGCTGCCTGCGGTTACAGAATCGCCCAGCCCCCTTGACTCTCTCTCTATAAAAAAGAGCTTTCTGCATCTGGGGCGCAGGTTTTTATTAAACAACGTTCGACTTTCATGTGTATAGCATATAGCTAGCGTTCCTTCTTTCTGAGCCAGGATCACACTCAGAGAGAGAGTATGATTAGGCCCTGTTGTGGTAGAACTTGGTGAACCGGGCATACTATTGAACTTCAGATTGATTCTCTCTCCTTCACTATGTAATGCAGTACGTTATATATTCTTTCTAGAAACTCAATCAAAATCAAAGCAAGCTAACTTCTTGCAACTACATCAACAACCGGGGGGAAATTCACTAGTCCTACCTACTCACGCTACGCTAATAAGGTTGAAAGAAAGTATGCGTCGAGCAAGCGACGATTCTACTTAACTAAGCCCCGTCCTTGTACAAGGAGGAAGCCAATCCCACCAATTTGAATGACTTTGATTAGTATACCCTTTGCTTTTAACATGGGCGAAGGAGCTCAACAAACGTGACCGGGCTGCTCATGAGAGAGAGAATTTGGAAAACAAACAAACAAAGAAAGACCTCTTCCGACACGCAAGCCCTAAGTAAGCAAGCTACCTTGTCTTCTTTCTCAAAAGACCTTTATGGAATGAAAACCAAAAAGAAGGAATAACAGTCTCAACAGTAAATGACATTATAAAGTGAGAGTAATTTTTTTCATGATCCGATCTTATGCAATACTCATTACATAGGACGCCCCCACTCACATGTCTCCGCATGTACAATTTAGTGATCACATTGTTTATGTCATATACAAAAGTGGGCCACATCCATAATGTCCCTAGGATAAGGTACTCAGCCATATCCCTGTACTATAGATCATTTTGACTATATACTTGAAATTGATCCACTCTTATTACTCTACATATAGTTCAAGTAATCATACTATAGTCAGAGTGTTCTTAGTTTATTCGATTTAGATTAATAATCATAAAATTCACTTTATTCAATAGCAATCTTTACTGAATAAACATCGATAATAACTTTATTGAAAATAGAATATGTTTTGTTCACAAACTATGAGATTTATGACATAAAACCCAACAAGGGGCACATCAAAGAAGGACAAGGTATTCTTCTTTATAAACGGGTTACAACCATGGGCCAAAAAAAAAAAATACACGAGAAAAATATCCAAGACCTAGCTACCGCAATTGCCAGCGCCAAGAGACTCTTAGACTTTGGGAACGAAGCGGGTTACCAAAGAAGAACAACATAGGCCCCAAACACTGGGGCACAACATATAAACCGCAAGGTCATCGAAATGGAAGCCCCAATAGGCCAAACGGAAGTAACGACAGACCAAGCAGGTGGACAGACAGACCTCCTTAGAACAATCAAGCGGGGACATCTTGATAAGATAAGGAACAACTACAAGGGGAGTAAGATTCGGATTACCTTGTTGATCGAATATCCCAAGACAAGAACATTGTTTGAGATTCGAATCACTCCACAAGCAAGATCGATCATGTCTAGCTTGAATGATTCTTGTTGATCAAATATCTCAAGACAAGAACACTTGATTGAGATTCGAATCACTCCACAAGCAAGATTGATCACGTCGAGCTTGAATGATTCTACATGCAACCTAAACTACATAGAATTGCAAAGAAACTTAGTCATTGGCTAAAGAAGAGCACAAATGCTTCTTTTACTACATTTTCCAAGTCTCTTACAAATACAACATACATGGCTTTATATAGCCTCAAAATGAAACTACTAGGCATTCCAAGAGTTGTAACATTCATACTTAATGGTCATAATTAACCATTATGTAATTGTAACCTAAAGTAAATAAAAAGTCCTAAAAACTCTAAATTGTAACCCACCCAAAATTTATAACAATCAAACTTCACTCTTCTTCAATGTGGCATGCATTGAAACATCTTTTGATAATTTTGACAACCTTTTCTTCACCTCGTCATTGAAGTATATTGTATGATTGATGTTTTTTGGTTCATATCATTCTCCACTTCTTCAAGAGGATTCGTCCTCGAATCTATTTGTGAAACTTTGCTGCAAAAAATAAGTTATGGAAATACGATGGACCTCACAACACTCTCTCACGAGTATTGATAAGATAAGGAACCACTACAACGGGAGTAATATTTGGATTACCTTGTTGATCGAATATCTCAAGGCAAGAACATTGTTTGAGATTCGAATCACTCCACAAGCAAGATCGATCATGTCTAGCTTGAATGATTCTTGTTGATCAAATATCTCAAGACAAGAACACTTGATTGAGATTCGAATCACTCCACAAGCAAGATTGATCACGTCGAGCTTGAATGATTCTACATGCAACCTAAACTACATAGAATTGCAAAGAAACTTAGTCATTGGCTAAAGAAGAGCACAAATGCTTCTTTTACTACATTTTCCAAGTCTCTTACAAATACAACATACATGGCTTTATATAGCCTCAAAATGAAACTACTAGGCATTCCAAGAGTTGTAACATTCATACTTAATGGTCATAATTAACCATTATGTAATTGTAACCTAAAGTAAATAAAAAGTCCTAAAAACTCTAAATTGTAACCCACCCAAAATTTATAACAATCAAACTTCACTCTTCTTCAATGTGGCATGCATTGAAACATCTTTTGATAATTTTGACAACCTTTTCTTCACCTCGTCATTGAAGTATATTGTATGATTGATGTTTTTTGGTTCATATCATTCTCCACTTCTTCAAGAGGATTCGTCCTCGAATCTATTTGTGAAACTTTGCTGCAAAAAATAAGTTATGGAAATACGATGGACCTCACAACACTCTCTCACGAGTATTGATAAGATAAGGAACCACTACAACGGGAGTAATATTTGGATTACCTTGTTGATCGAATATCTCAAGGCAAGAACATTGTTTGAGATTCGAATCACTCCACAAGCAAGATCGATCATGTCTAGCTTGAATGATTCTTGTTGATCAACTATCTCAAGGCAAGAACACTTGCTTGAGATTAGGGATAAAAAAGAGGTAGTTCCCTTAAGTACTGACTCAAGGTCTTGAACAAGGGGCCCCACCCTCTCATTGGCCTGAGAGTGATTCGGTTTATTGGTTGGACCACAAACCAATTGTTTATTAGAGGATCAATGAGACATAAGAAACAAAAAGTAACTTCAGGGGTAAAACAGTAAATTGACCCAACTCTAGTTACGAACAACCTGTGAAGGATCGACTTACTAATCATGGTTATATCAAATGGACAGAAATATAACTATAGTGAGGGGAGTGCAACTACTAGGCTATAGTGGAATGTTCTAGTAGTTCATGAATGTTAGTTAACAAGGTTAATGAGTTTAACCGGTTAATCTTGGATCGTTGGAGCCCATGATCTATAGGTCCATTAGGTTCCTCTTCTAGCTCATATCGAACTAAACCATAGAACAGTGTTTTAGGTCCTTGGATATATCAATGGATTTTGTTTTAGGTTTACCTAGGACTAGGAAAGGTTATGATAGCATCTTTGTTGTGGTTGATTGATTTAGTAAAATGACTCATTTTATTCCTTGTCACAAAACTGATGATGCAAAACATATTGTAGGCCTGTTCTTTAGGGAAGTTGTACGATTGCATGGCATTCCTAAAAGCATCGTTAGTGATCGTGATGTAAAATTTTTAAGCCACTTTTGGCGTGTTTTATGGGGTAAGTTAGGAACTAAGCTAATATATTCAACTTATACAACAAGGACGAGAGCTAAGAAGCTACAACAAACCTTATACAATTATATTCAAGCTATGGTGAGCTCATCAAAGGAAATTCTAGAAGACGCTGGAGACCTCCCAATGTTGTGCAAAGTTGAGATTCAAGAAAGAGATGAATTAAATGCACTTTAAGTTGCATTTAATGAACTCCGCTGAATTTATGAAACTAGTCCAAGGATGAGTCAATAAGCACATTTTATTAATTGCATTATTTAATTATATTTAAATATTTGTTTGGCATATTTAAGCTAGTTTTAAATATTGGAGTTAAGGTTATATTGTAACCCACATAGGTTACTATATTCCACCATTAACTAGCCATTTTAATATGGAGGTTATGGGTATTTTTCATTTACTAGCCCATTTAATTTGAGAGTTATATATCACATAGGTTAAGGTTGTAAGGGCTATATAAAGCCTTCTTTTCTTTGATTAGATATCAGATTTTGGAATTAAGAATAGAATTTCTATTTTAGATTTGTTGAAAGCTAAAATTTCTTTGCAAATTCTTGTGTTTAGAACTTGCATGTAGAGTCATTCAAGTGGTATTGATCAAACCTCTTGTGGAGTGATTCGAATCACGAATTTAGAAACGAGTTTTCTTTACTCTTGATCTTGATCATCAAGGTAATCCGTTCCATACTTTCCCTTGGGTTGATTTTCCATATCAAATCTTGAATGAGAAACTCCATTATGTTTTTCTTCCTTGTTCTTTTGCGTACCGAAAGAATCAGAATATAGGAGATTTATATGCTAAAGTCGTTGGTTCCGGGTCAGGTGAGCAGCCTTTGCCTTTTTTCTTTTTCTCCTACGTCTATGATTAGGATTTCTCAATCTCGTCTATTATCAAAACAAAGTGAAATGAACGATTACAAGATTGTGCGAATTCTTCCTTTCTTCAGGTATCTACCACAAAGGCACAAATTTGACAGGAATACCTGCACTTGTAGCTCCCATCATCACACCCATCTTATAGAATTTCTTTCTAATCGAGCATTTCGGGTGAGTTTTCCCCAATTCACACACGCTCGTTATTCTCATTTCGTCTTCGTGCCTATTTAGGACAGGACAAAGATTTTATGGAAGGTTTTTAGAACTTTTTGCCGAGCTCGAGCTTAGTGGAACTCTAATCTGCATAGTGCCCAGTGGAGGACCTGTGGACTGTCTTGGAGGTATGATTTTTTCACCGCGGAAGGGAATCGTGGAAAAAGAGGACTTGGATAGCAAGTCTTTTTGAAAAAGCTAGTTAGACTATTATTATGGCTATTGATTGAATTATATTGCCCAGTAATTATAATATGCCTATATCTGACGAAATGTTATTTTTTTTAGGTTGTTATATTGCCTCGAACGGTGCTCCTTTGAATCCGGTACCAACGGGTATCATCATCATCCCTCCTAGAACAACGTTATCTTTCAGACCTTTCAACCAGGAGAGCGGCTTTTGCTAAAACTCGAGCTCTTTCTTTCTTGCTTCGGATATGATAGAGTATTTATTGATGCTATCGGTATTCCCAATAATCTGGCTCGGTAATAGATCGCTTCTTCCAAACAAAGCACCCCGTTCGTTACGCTCGCAACAATTAGTTCTCTAGGTGAACAACATTAGACATTCTTCTGAAACCAACACTTTTGATGTTATTTGAGGTACGTACAAGAATTTAGAAAGGAATTCCAATCATTCTTCTTATACGCTCGTTCCAACCCTCAACTCTTCTAGGCTCATCAATATTGAATCAATCGAACTCTAACACTTGTTACACTTTTGGAAGATGGAAGACCCTGTGTCACTACATCGTGATTTTTCGTCAATTCTCTACTTCGTAAATAAAGGATTTTTCCATAATGGCGAGGGCCAACCAACTATTAGAATATTAGTAAATGCTTCGGAAGTGTCCAAATCAGGCTTAGCTTCTTACCTTACTACTACATCCACTTGAACAATTAGAATTTGACTCTATTTTAGATATGGTCTTTCTTTGGCTATACATCCATTTGAACAAAGAAACTGTCCAAGGCTAATTCTTGTGGGTCTTTCATCACAATAACTATGATGATATGGATGAGAACATGCCAATTCAAATTAAATGTATTGAAAACAATGTTACTGCATGGAAATGAACAAACGCAATTTGAGAAAGAGCCCCTAATAAAGGTCCTAACGAATTCCTAAGCCTACAGACGTGATCTATCTTTTTCTATTTCTCACATTCTCAGATTTTCCATGAATGGATCCATTTGAAAACAATTAGATGCTGACAGAGAAAAGATTGGCGTTCTTTATTCCTTTCCTTCCTATTCA